TGAGGATAGATTTGCTCATAACAAACCCTTTATTTTTAATCCTATATGATCATCCCCAACCATTATATTAGATTGAGAAACGGATAAAAGAATGTATCGTTAAACTTTTTTAATTGGGGTTTTTCATTTGGGTATAACCAGATAATGAGATTAACTATTATAATTACTTTGAATAGTGCGAAATTTTCACATAACTGATTATTCGTACTAATCGTCAACTTTATATATTCCATTTTACCTAGTTTTCGCAACTCGTTCCCTCTTACAGGAGACCTTTGAATAGGGTGTTTTGAGCTGAGCCCTATTTTATTCTTGTTTGGAGGTCAACCATAATGACCATACGAGCGAATGCACCTAAAGCTACAGAAGGCCCCGTATTTGATTGGATCACCGAAGTTGATGCATTGATTAATAATAAATAATGAAGGGTATGCAAGGGTTTATGTTGTCATGGAATTCTAATTAGCTTCTCCCAAAAGGCCTGACGAGGTCACTGATGACAGATTCGACTTTCACGGCGAATCTAGCCTCTGCCAATTCGTATTTGTTGAGATTTGCGCGTAAAATTAAATAATGGACACACTCACCCTTTGGTGAAGATATATACCTACAATTGTCAAAGCAGAATCACCCCAAAGGACAGAGGAATCTTCTTAAGCAAATTTATTTTTCTTTAATAAAGCGAAAGGTGGCTATCTAGAGGGCGATGATAATACTCGAGTTTTTCCAAAAATATATGAATAGACCCGTACCACGAAAAATTCTTGAATTCATAATTAGCTGTAATTCTTGCCGTCAGTGCATTGAATTCGATGCCAGATTGTGAGCACTGTGGCTGAGTTACCATTGCGCCACAATGTCACAGGTGCCAGTGCCGTAAGGCGGTGCTAGGTTAAAGGCAAATTAGACCAGTCTAGAATCGCATTCACATTGGGTTTGCCAATGCAACAAACGTGTTTACCCTCGCAATCTTACTAGTTTGCCTGGACTTTTAGATATAGTGAAAAAACCAATGCCGAGACTCAGGTCTCTGGTTCTTCATTTCTATTCAACCAGTCTATCTGAGCACGCCGCTTTTCTGATCTGATTTTATTTACAATCAAACCCCGAGAGAACAAATTATCGGGCACTTTTTTTCGGACTTCCAGTTCATTAGCCCAAGAATATCTATCTGCTTATCGTATGACCCTATTAGTTATTTATCCTAAAGTACCAGCATTGTCTCGCGATCACGGTCGAAAAAGGTGAGTAAATCCGAAGTACGTCGATTTGATATGTAGTTCCTGGCACAATTTGTCTACCTCTTCTGATGAACAGAACACCAAGAGCGCCAAACCATTATCCCTCGCTTTTGTATTATGAGCCTTAGATTACCACAGCTTGCTGAGCGAGATAAAGAAACCATTCAAGCCGTCCGACCCTGCCACCAAGTTACAAAATGATCAACCCCGTTATAATTTCAAAAAGGTTCAATTCTAGTGGGAGATGGCAAATAGTTTAGCGTCGAACTTTGTGCTAGCGCCTCCATATGGAGACTGGCGCCCCCCAGACAGAACGCCCATAATGCAGTGTGAGCTTAATCTAGACCGAGTGAGCGGCTATGACCACGTGACTTTCTGCAAGATAGTGAGCTGCTGATAAAGCCCGCTGAAAGGATAATAAGCGATAATTCGGC